TATAATTTTGTTGTAGTCAATTTAAGTTTAGTAAAAAAAAAAAAAAAAGGAAAAGGAAAGGAAAGAATGATAATAAAAGAGATTTTGCATTTGGCAAAGATTGAAATGAAAAGGTCAAAAATGGTAAAAGATTCGATGGTGCATAAACGTCACATATAATTAACAAATGCATACATATCTTTGCTATTTTCTTTTTTTTTTTTTTTTTTTTACAAATTATCAAGTTGTAATCGAAAAAAAAAAGTGAAAATAATATGGAATGAAAATTGTCATCCCTTTGTTGTCAAGTTATCAAGTTGTCAAGCTGTCATCCCTTAGAATTTAATGAAAATATATTGTTAGAAGATTGAATCAGACTTATTTATGCAGTTAATTTAACTGATCAAGCAGTTATTGTATCTGTATTAATTACTCCAACATTATATTCATAAAGTTAATTTGATTGGTCAACGAGTTAATGCAACTGACCTCTACTGACCGTTACATTGTTTGCATAATAAAAAGCATGTATTAATCTAACAAGCGCATATTTCTTCTCTTCTTTTTAATTTTACTAAATGCATTCATTCATTTCTATTTGTTGATTTAAGTGGCTCTCGGCGGGTGTTCGATGTTCGTACCAGCTGGAATTACGTTTTTTTTTTTTTTCTCCTGGCCCTGTACCGTCGGGAGTGTCTGTCTTGTGTGTGTGTGTGTGTGTGTGTCTGTCTCATATGTATATCTATGTGTATGTGTATGTGTGTGTGTGTGTATGTGTGTGTTTGTGCATATGGAATGGAATGGTATTGAAGAGATTGATGGTCTTGTTTCGCTACTCAAGTGTAATTTTTCATTTGTTCTCGATCCGAAAACATTGCAACTTGTCTTTCATTACCTTTTCCTATATTCAATATTAGATTATTCTTCGTGTCACCTTAAATATCCAGGTAAAATATACGTACGTGAATATATACGTCTTTATTATAAAAGTATACTTATAAGGATAAAATATACGTGTCGCATTTATTTCTTCACGTATTTTTCATTTCATGAAATGTTAAATGGTATGTAATTTGTATTTCCAAATTACATCAAATATGAATTTGAAATGTAAATTAATAATACCGAAAAGATCATAACTAATTAGTTAACAAATAAAGTGTCCCATAATGACATGAGTCACTTGTCAAACTTTTTCTTTCGACACTATGTGACAGTATTAATTGATATTTTATAGCTTTAAATTGAAAATTATAATGAATAACTTTCTTGTAAATCAATATTATCGGAAACTTAAAATTTCATTTCCATCCTTCTGATTCATTTAATTAACCAATGATTTATTGAAATGAGAGAGGATCATTGTCATCTGTACCTTTCATTTTTCACTTCTTATATACGTAAGGAAGTTTTCATACGATATCATGAATTATGAAATAACTCATAAATTTGTATACCGAATTATTTCAAGTATATATACAGAAAATATTTCCGGATAGATGATGAAAGAATTGAGAAGAAAGGAAGAAATGAAACAATTTTCATTTTTTCTTTTGTTGATGTGAACAGTTTAACAAAATGTATGCTCTGTTAAAGGATAAGCCTGACCTGACATATGTCTATTTCATCAGGTTGAATTATCCTACTGTAAGTTTAAACATTTATCATTTTCATTTATTAGTTTGATTGATTTAAACTAAAGTGAACAAAACAAAAATTTAAAATGATTTTAGTATTTCCAGAGAAATAAAAGAATATTGTTAATAATATCATCTGATATTGTTGATCTTTTTCATTTCAGTATTTGATGATCATCGTTATGAGATGGATATGAGTTTTGTGACAATTAATTATGCAAATAATATGAATGTTGTATCGGAATTAATTATCCAAAAGTGATTTATGATATTGACCAATATATAATGTCCAGTATTATTTTAATAATTGTTTGACCAACACACTGTTCAGTATTGTTCTGTTGTTGTTGGGAAAATTGTGATGATTAAATTCTTGTGATTTGTTCTCTGAAAAAAAAAAAAAATTTTTTTTCCGATTTCTCTTGTCACTAAAAGCAATTCTTTAAAAAAACAGTTAAGCATTTTTATTTTATTTTTAAATTTTTTTTTTCTCGCTATTACTTACACAACTTTCATCTTATGTTCGAACGAATGAGTCATTGATGATAAATCCGATTCATGAATCATTTTATTTAGTGATTAGAGCTAGAATCGAATGATAACTCTCATATTTTTATCACTTTTTATTGTAATCATTTTCTTTCCGGTTTGTCATTTCACAGCAAAATCATTCTGTTAACTCTTCCAGGAAAAGTATTGTTTTCCGGTTGTTCCGAAACTAAGGAGCTACAGTTTTCAGATTACTCAGAAGTAGTACTACTGTAATGTTTTATTAAATATTACAGGATAAATTCCGAATTTTACTATAAATGTAGGGATGAATGCAAAAAAGGATTAAAGACCAGAAATTGGTAATGTATGAAGATGCTTCTGGATCTATGAATTTTGGCGCAATTATCCTTAAACCTTCAACTTCCCGAAGTTAGTGATATATGAAGATGCTTATGAATCTATAAAATTTGGCGCAATTATCTCTAAACCTTTAACTTTCCGAAGTTAGTGGTATATGAAGATGCTTATGAATCTATAAAATTTGGCGCAATTGTCCCTAAACCTTTAATTTCCCGAAGTTAGTGGTATATGAAGATGCTTATGAATCTATAAAATTTGGCGCAATTATCTCTAAACCTTTAACTTTCCGAATAACCTTACAATCGTATATTACTCTCTAGAAAGGTTGTAAATTCATAAAATTAAATGGTAGTGTCGGAAAGATGTATACAATCATTGGTATGCAAGCATATAGTTTCCAATTTTGTTGTTGACACTATCAAATTCCTACCTGTCTACCTACCTA